GTGATGATTTGCTAATATGCCTTATTATGAAGTGATGTCAAAATGTGCTAACCTCACTTATATGAATTGTAATAAAAAGACTATACTCATGCATTTTATTGAGCTACGATGATGATTATACAAGGGATAGACCCTATGACTTACAAGCTATGATGATTAATAAAGACATTTCAAAAAAAGGACTTTAGCTTAGCACCGAGTTAACTAGAGTGGGGAGTGTCTCTTCCCATATAGAGAAGGTAAGATCACTAATGTACTCTTGATATTGGAGACTATAATGCATTTAGCATAAAGAGGGTCCCAACTATATCTCCTAGTTCTTGAACTATGTTGCCCCTTTAAGAATATTAGCTAGTGGATTCACGTAGTTGCTATGTTTATGTTTTGGTACTACCTTGGCAAGTAGTCCGCCTTCTTTCGGTATGGGGTATCATGACACCGCATTCCACATTACCTCATGTGGTCTATGTCGGTTAAGGCAAGATGTTCCCAAAAGGTAAAATGAATTAAAGGAATGGACTCTAACTAAGATAACTTAAGGGGTTTAGCTTATTCTAGGTAGGGTATGTGACTCTACCTAAACATTGTACTAATTAGTCTTGAGAAAAGTCTTAGGAGGATGTTCTTATGTATGTATATGATTATGATGGTACATGATATGTATATGATGAACTTGCACATTGTTGATACTATATGTTGATTAGTTCACTTATGAAGATGTGTTGGTTTACATTTTTAAAGTATGATGATATGTACTCTTAAATGTCATGCTATGTGAAGTGGGTTGTTGGTCATGATTCTTGTTAGGTTACTTGAATGAGTAAGGTTATTTGGCTTTGCTTGGTCATTGCACTTATTGACTTGATAGGGGTTCATGGGGAATTGTCTTGCTTTGGTTATGTTAAAATGCACTCTTATTCATGCTTGTTGAAGTTATAACTTGATGATTAGAATGGTCTTGATTATATGTGCACGTATGTTGATATGTTCATTAACTTGACTATGCTTTGTATTATTGGTCTTGTGATGTACATGCCTATGACTTAAGGAATATGTCTTTTTAATTGGTATAGTCTTCTTGAATGTGCATAAGGTTTTCAAAGGGTAAAATAACATATTTTCATGAAAGGTCCCCTTTTAACATGATTTGATAATATGTGTGCACATGGTCTCATACTTAGTACAAATGGTGTACTAATTTCATTTCTTCCTTTTTCCATTATTTTAGGTTTCGGTCGTTGAAGGGCTTTTGGAGACGATTTTGAAGAAGACTTGAAATTCTTAATTATCCAAGTTGGGTAAGTCCTCACTTTCCGAGGGCAATGTCACTATCAAGCTATGAAGTTGTTTTTAGTACGAAGACTCTTATGTTTCTTTACTTTTCATTTGGATACTAAACATTGTATGACCTATATGTGGTCTTATTATATTGATGTATGGGCTAGACCCAATTTGATATACTCTTATTAGATGGTCATGAGATGAGACGACTATTTGAGTCTATATTATATTCTATATATTTATGTGCAATAAAAGTAGAAGGGTTTATGTATACTCGATATATATCTATTATGTGTATGTAGAGGTCTATGTAAACCTCAATGTAGAGGTAATGAAAAGTTTTAAATTTTCTGCGCTTTTGACCTATGAATGTAATGATTTAAGCTAAGAGGATAGATTTAGTCCTCAAAGAGGACACCGACAGCGGTTACGTCTAAGGAGTGATCTCCGGATTTGACAGTATAATACACTTACCAATGACGTGTCAAAGTGACGAATTAAATAAAGACACATCTTATATATGTATCTAAACTAATGACTTTTAAGTAAAAAAGAAAAATAACCACTTACTTGATGACATGTGGCATTAGAACTCAAATAATAAATATTTTTTAAAAAGAAATTCAACACTTTTAATTTTCAAGAAACTCGCCCTTGTCTTCTTCACTCCCCCCCCCCCCCACCATCACCACCACCACCACCACCACCAACAACAACAACCCAGGCGTCCTCTCCACCCCCATTAAAGCGTCCATCCTCGTTACCCACACCCACCTCAACTTCAACCCGTTTTCACTATAATATCTTTTCAAGAAACACTTTAATTTCAAAAGAATTTAATTACATTTAAAAAATTAGTTTATAAAAGCACACTTTTTCCTTTTCTTTACTTCTAAAAAATCAGTTATAACTAACAATGGAAGAATTTTTTTTATTTTTTGTGTCTTTCTCATATGTGCAGAGGATTCAAATATGTGAACACGAAATAGAGTAATTATTTTGTGGCGCTGAATTTTAATTGTTGGATATAAAGAAACAAAATGAGAAGAAGATAATGGTTGTGGTGATTTTTAGATCTGAAAAATTAAAAATTATTTTGATTTAAATAAGATTAATGGCGATGTTGCAGGAACGTGGGTTGATGGTGTTTGGTGGATAAGATAATCACAAAGATTGAGGATGAAGATGAACAATGTTTTATTAAAAAAAAATTAGCCTGAAAAAAAGCTCCTCACACGCTGACTTTGAGTGTATTACACTCAACATGTCATGTCACCAAAAAGTGTCAACATGACACAACAAAATTCTATATGAGGGGTTTAAAATGAACATCGCCTAGTTGAGGTGTCTAAGTGAAATTTCGTGACAAGTTTAATCGATGGGTTAGACCACACACACACACACACACACACATATATATATATAGTTTTTGGACGACAGGGGCATCATGTCCCAAAAATATGACAGATGGTATTTGCATACCATTTACGATTGTTTGAAGGTATATTTTTCCTTTAATAAATGATGAGTCGATGAATAAGATTACGACAAGTGTATATTCTTTAGTATAAAGGTTATATATGATCCAGTTTTTGAATGATAGGGCACTTGCGTCCCAAAATTATGTCGGATGATATCTGCATACCATTTGCAATAATTCGAAGGTATATTTATCTTTTTCCAATTTAAAATTATTGTGATAATTGAATATGAAAGGGTATGTGTGACACCTTTTCCTAGTTTTTCGAGTCTACCTACCTCTACACTCGTTACATTCATTGTAATTAACTTATCACTCCTCTTAACTATGATATTTTAGCATATTCTCTTCACAAAATTGAATCATCTCAATTTCACAATTCTCAATCTTGTCCATTGTGAAGTTCACTCTTATGGTATCTCGTATAATTTCGTCTCTGATCTCATTACTAATAGTATTCCACACATCCATCTCAACATCCTCTTGTTTATTGAACCGAGCAATATTTTGTCTCATACCATATTGTTAGTTTGAACTACTACTTTATAAACCTTACCCTTAAGGTTGGGTTGGATTGTATCCTAGCTTACGTTTGGACATTGTTATGAAATCATCATTTCAAATCAATATTCACACATGTGATTAGTATATATATATATATATCCCTTTCAGGATTACTCGGTGGTTTGGGCTTGGGACTTCCATGTTGGAGGTCTTAGGTTGAAAACCACCTTGACAGCGAAAACAATGGACTTGCCTTGTAGGTCAAGTTCGTCACACCAGGCTTACCTAGTGCAGGTTACACACTTGACTCATACATTTATATTTTGTATTTTTCTTTTTTGAAAAAAAAGACTTGTCATTTAAAATTTGTAAAAAATAAGAAAAGAAAAAGAACACTTACACTCAACATGAAGAGATTTTTATGTATCATATAAAATTCTTTTTAGTATAATTAATTACTATTACCATTGTCGATAAGTGAGTTTTTATAATTGATGTGAATTTGAAAGATTTATGTATAAAAGAAACATGAAGTTATGCGATTTTTCAATGCAACGTCTCGATTATCTTCCTTCATATCAAACACATTCTAAAAGTATAAAAAAAAAATTGTAAAATCTTGTAATAGAACAAGTACATTTTTTTTATATATATATAAATAAAAGTAATGGATAATCTGAATTATATCAATACCAATAATATATACTAATAGAATTCAAATCTAATAAATTATATGTAGAAAGTATATTCAAATTGTGAATAATTTTAAATTGTTTTTTTGACTTAACATAATTTTAACTCCAACTTCAACTTTAAATCTTTCGAATAAAGTGAACTATATTTTATTTTAATGGTCACTCCAACTTCAAACTTTTAAAATCCCAAATAAAGTAAAAATTATATTTTTGGTTTCAATGGTCAAATACACATTTAATCCTAACTCTCCGCAGATATGCTAGATTTCCGTTAATTACTGCATATATATCACATTTCATTTGTAAATTTCTAATTATATTCGTGTGATTTTAAACTTAATCAATCAAAATTTGATTAAAAACTAATTAGCATTATCCAATTAGCGACAAAGATGAGTTGCATCTGATTCATTAGAGCAAAAATAAGAATTTACACACCTCTGTGCTATTTTATACGTCATTTTTTTAAGTTTTCACTTGCATTAAAAAACTTTACATTGAAATAATGTAACTTTATCTTTTTACTTTTATATAATGTTTTTTTAAGTCATTTATTAATAAATGACAAGATTAATTCACTACTATATCAAGAATACAATAAGCAAAATATGATAATTTAGACATAAAATTTATAAATGAAAAGTAATATGGTCCGGCTATTTATAGAAAGAGATGAAATATAAATAAGATCAGATGGAACGGAGAGAATAATAATTACTTCCTCCTTCCCATTTTATATATCACCTTTTTACTAAATAATGTAACTTTACCCTTGCACTCTTATTTAATTTTTTTAAAACTCAAGTTTCTAATCAATGAGTATGAATTGATTTATTTTGATTAATTAACTTAACCAATAAACATGAATCATTTACTTAGCTTTTTTAAGTTAGTCAAATGCATATTTTAAATCTAATAAATCATAAGGGTAAAAAATAAATAAAGAATTATATAGTAATTTATGAATTAAAATGAAATAAAAAATGACGTATAGAATGAGACGACACGGAGAAAAAGTGAGTTAAATGATCCAGTCAATTGTGAAAGCTTATTTATTCCGGCGAATGTCTTCTTCTTGTTCATTACGCCCATTTGCCACGAGTCATTTCTCTTTTGTGGCTATAAATATGGCCAATTTAGCACACATATACACACTACTCTATTTCTACAGAGCAAAGATGGATAATAATGGTGGTGGTTTTCATGGTTACCACACATTCCCTTCTACACCTGGTATGCTTAAGTGAAATTCTCTTTTGCTTTTACAAATTACACATTATATACTACATTCACATAGTGCTTCTTTGTTAATTTGGACTTCCACAATGTTATCTTTCATTATCTTCTTTGCAAATTCTGGTTCTTTCTTTCTTTGTTTCTCGCTCGGTGTTCAGGGCCCATTTGAGAATCACGCTTTCAACAAAAAAAAATTTCATACTCAAGGCTTGAACTCGAAATCTCTGATTAAAGACGAAGAAAACACTTTCACCAATGCACCAGGTGTTCAGGGCCTATTTGAGAATCACGCTTTCAATAAAATTTTCTTCATACTCAAGGCTTGAACTCGAAATCATGAAATTTCACCAACGCACCATAACTCATGTTTGGTTAACTTAAAAGACAAAATTAAGTAAGGGAAACAAGTGGCATGCATGCAATCTTTTAATTAACCTATAACTATCTCCGCTCTTCCCCTTTTCTACACGTGTGTTGTGCTCCACTAAAAATGTCAATATACTTTATCATTTGAATTTGATTTCAGATTGTTCTTGTGTTGTGGAAATTAAGCTACAGAGATGAGGATGGGAGTGCCTGTGCCTGTTCATCTTAACCAAGATTCTGAATGCACTATTCGGGAGCAAGACCGATTCATGCCAATAGCAAATGTGATCAGAATCATGCGTCGGATCCTTCCTCCCCATGCTAAGATATCTGATGACTCTAAACAGACCATCCAAGAATGTGTATCTGAGTTCATAAGCTTTGTAACTGGTGAAGCCAATGAGCGTTGCCAATGTGAGCAGCGCAAGACCATCACTGCTGAAGATGTGCTTTGGGCAATGAGCAGGCTTGGTTTTGATGATTACATTGAACCCTTGACTTTCTACTTGCATCGTTATCGTGAGATCGATGGTGGTGAGCATGGAACCTTGACAGAGGAGGAGTCTTTGATGTTGAAGCTTGACCCATCTTATGCAGGTTACTTTGTGTATCCACTGCCAATGGCCAACACTACTTATATTTCTCAGTGTGCTGTGGAAAGTGATGACTCTCTCTTTCTCTGCTGAAGGAATTGAGTGAGCTGTTGTTGAAATTTGAGTATGACTTGTTTATATTTTGATGCAAAATCCTTAAAACCAATCTACATCTTTGGGCCTTGTTCAATTTTCTGTAATGGATTACACAGTGCAGGAAGAACACTTAGCTAGGACAGTATTTTGGTCAAATCTATCAGAGAAAAAAAAACCATATCATTTGTTTGCCATCTAAAGTTTGTTGAAGCATAATACATCAAAATTATTCTTCCCAACATGCTTATGTACCCAAAAAGATTTGAGGAACAAACACGAGGAAGAAACAAAGTCATACAGTGCAAAAAGAAAACTGAAGCCAAGCACCTTCTCAATAAGGCGAACTTCACTATAACTGAGATAAGTTCTGGAGAACAAAGATGATACCACTGACTATTCTGATAGGATCGAGTGGAAGCTTTTGAAACTTCAACTCTCAATGCACTGTCTTTTAGACTCTTGATCATCTTTCTCTTCTTCCAGTTCAATATCAATGATTTTTTTCTCGTGATCATCGTTCCCTTCCGTATCTTCAATATCATTATCACCCTCACATCTTTTCCTCTGTGGAATCACTGCAAAGAATGAAGTTTTCCAGTCTCCTGTCTCCAAGTATTTCAGAAGTATCTCTACCACTTGATTGACTGTAAGGACCTTCACAAGAAAAATACATGTTAGACAGTGTTTTCACAATTTTCTACACAGACCGTACAGTAAACTGGCCACTAACAATTTATTGGCAAGAAAAGAGAATCTACTATTGACCATATTACCAGTATAACAACAAAAAATTGGAGAATTTAGACCTAACCTTTATCTGCCCTCTATTGGAAAACCCCGTGACTTGAGCATATTCGCTTTTAGTTCTTTGATTTGAAATATTTTGGTTTCAGAGTTTCTATACGATAAACAACTTTAAGGAAGCACATCTAGACTACTCAGCTCGACTCCACTGTGTCGGTTGAACACTTCAACTTACAAAATGATCATCTAGACATCTCCAATTATGTGTCACTTCGGCATTTGGTGTCCATGAGACACAATGAGGACGGGTTGAAATGTCTAGACGTGCATTCTCAAAGTAATATTTAAATGTCACTCGTCAGCTGAGGCTAAGATTAACCACAACTATCAGTTGATTAGCCAGCACTAGTTGTGCCAAAAGATATAAGATTCACTATACATGCATCTATCTGGTGGCTTCAAATTTCAATGATATACTACTGGATCAATCGTGTTGTTAAAATTAAAAACTTCTTTCCTGACAACATATATGCTCAAAATGATGAACCAAAACATTACTAGAAAGATAATGGTGCCACTAAATACATACAAGATAATAATAGGTCCAACATCTTTGTTATATTGATCAAGATTCAAGGTAATATTGAATTATTACCATAGAACTGAATAGCTTAAAGTGGTGCATATTGAAGGAAACACAAACAAGATTCTTTTGGCTTCAAGATAAACCTAAATAGCCAGAGTGTCTCAGACTAGTATGTACGTCCTATGATCTCCCAGTGCCTCTTGAATAATTCGATCCTGAACTCTCAGTTCTAGGAAATTTCAATTACTATGAAATACCAGCAACAATTGGAAACTGACCGTTTATACATGTTATTGCTAGTGATGTGTCTTGAACCTCAGAATGCATTCATATGTTAAGCATATCGATGTTTTAACTCTATGGAGACCCTAACCCTAGTACTCTAGAAAACTGTGAGTCAATAATCCAATCTGCTGTTTATTGACATCCTTTAACAAGAAAGGTCAAACACCCAACTATATATTATCTGGAAAAAAAGCATAGCACTTCATTGATGTCCTGCAGAAACATGGCAAAGCATTTAAAGGAAGTTCATTTAGCGAGTCATGAAACAGTCTGTAGATTTTCTTCCAGCATAGATAAAGGGAGCAGTCTCTTTAGTGTTCAGCTTCAAAACATATCGAGAGCCTTACTAGTCAGTGCTGTTTTTCAGGTGAATTAACTGAGGCACATCCTTAAATAATCTTCTTAACCAGCAAACACAATTGTCAAAAGGTTGCAAGCACTCAGATATTACCTCATTAACATAGTTTAAAATGCAGGGTCTGAAGGCAACATAGAGAAGTAGCTCAATGATTTATTGATTCACAATACTGAACATACCTGAGAACTAGACATCTTTAGGTAAGTTCCTATAGGGAGTTTTGCTGTTTGAATCCCTTGGTCTTCTGCTTTTTTCTTGGTTAGCCCTTTCCACCGATTCCTATCCACCAACCCACCAATGATATATATATGCTTTGGATCAAGGACGTCTAGCGTTGTTTCTGAGTCTGCAGTGAGATACACAAGGCGTTCCTTCTGATCTTCGAATGCCTCAATATATGGCCGGTTCTCTTTTTCAATTACCCACTTGTCAAAACCTGGTAGTCTTTGCAACTGAGCTTGCATTTCTCCTTGACAGCCAGTCAACCAGAGATGAGCAGGAGAACTACACCTTCCATTCACCGCATAACAGTACATGATCTGCCATAAGTCCAACAGCTTTAGCTTGTTCGCTTCGAACATGTAAGATAAAAGTGCATTTATAAAGCAGCAAGAAACAGGAAGAATTTATTCAAGTATTGTGCAACTGTCACAGAAACCCTATACAACCAAATCAACTAAAGGATATTGGAACAAAAACAGTGACTTTAGAGTTTAGGCTTCAACAATCTAGCATCGGGAGTGTTTTAGAGTAAAAAAATTCGACGAACTGAAACTTTAACTAAAAAAAAGAAGAAATAAACCTGTTGAACGAGGCTATGGAGCTCACTAGAATTCATGAGGTTATCAAACTCGAGATCAATAACTACATTTTGGCCATTTTCTTTAGCATTAGTGAGCCTCTGCATCTTCTTTCCTTTTTCATCAGAGCGTTGGTCCATTCTCTCTTTCCTTAAGCACTTCCTCGACTCTATCAACTGTTGTTTCTCCTCTTCGGTGGCGCTGGCCAGCTTCTCCTCCCATTCCTTACGCTTGCGCTCCCCTTCTCTCTTCTTCTGCTCTTTCAGCAATGCCTTTTTCTCCGCCTTTTTGACCTCGTATCGTTGCTGCTTCAACAGTTTCTTCTGCGCGTTCTTCGACAGTGGTGGACATGGCTGCTGCTGCTGCTGTTCGACTTCCACTACCACTTCTTCTTCATCTGCCATTGTTTTCCCTTCTTCCATTGCAGAAGAATGTTTTGCTCAACATTGGGGCTTTAGCACACAGGGAGGCTCTCAAACTTTGGGCCTCCACTGTTTCACTCCTGACCCGGCCCATTGTTTTTTTCTTTGGAAACTACTTGCATATTTTATTTTATTTTTAATAATATGACTAGTTTATGAAAAGACACAAATTATTATCTTTTACTAATTTGGTGAATATAAATGATATTTGATGAATATAAATAAGAGAGGAGGGAGTAATATCTTTTTGGTTTTTCATAAAAAAAAGTACTTCTCTTTTTGGCTATATATGAAAATGTTTAAAGCAATTTGATACGAAAAAAAGATAAAACTGATTATGTATGTTTCATAATTACTACTTTCAGTATGTTTGATTTTAGAACGAAATAAATGCATTAAAAATGTGTAATTGCACATAAGTGAAACCATATAATATTTGACATACAAGTAAAAATTGAAGTTAATATCTTAAAAGATCACTCAATTTTAGGAATTGATTTAGCAAAGTCATTAAAGTTTGTTGTGTATCAAAAAAATTATTCAACTTAGATTTTTATATCAATAAAAATTACTTAACTTTAGGAATTGATCTAACAAAATCATTAAAGTTTGTTGCGTATCAAGGAAATCACTCAACATAGATTTTTATATCAATAAAATCACTCAACTTAGACATTTGTGTTAGTAAAATCATTAAACAAAATTTATCATTATTTTTATTTTTTTCCATATAAAATAGACCCTACAAATAAATAAAATTAAGAAAACTAATTTAATTTTTTATGGGAATTTTTTGCATCGTTAAAGAAAAATTGTCAGTTATAACATATTTAGAAAGTTAATTGAGGTCACAATTTTAAATATTATTTTAGTACTCTTATTCTCTAATGAGTCCTAATTAGATTTGTGAATACAAATTTCATTGATAATTTATCTGTGCTAATTCTCAAAAAATACACTAGTGGACCAATAAATAGAACTCCTAATTATTATTATTTTATTTAATAATTAGCATATTAAGATAAAAGTATTTGTTTCACTAGAGAAGTTTTCCACAAAAAAAATAAATTAGTTTTCTTAATTTTATTTATTTGTAGGGTTTATTTTATATGAGACAAACAAAAACAATGATAAATTTTGTTTAATGATTATACTAACACAAATTTCTAAGTTGAGTGGTTTTATTGATATAAAAATCTAAGTTGAGTGATTTTTTTAATACCCAACAAACATTAATGACTTTGTTAAATCAATTCCTAAAGTTGAGATTTTATTGATATAAAAATCTAAGTTGAGTGATTCTTTTGATACAAAAAAAAAATGACTTTGCTAGATCAATTTCGAAAGTTGAGTGATATTTTAAGATATTAACTCGTAAAAATTGTCATAAGTTTTACACTGTTTCATAATTACGTGCGAGAATAACAACGGAGTGATGATATATTTACGGTCTATGAGCATGAAAATATAGTTGTGAATGATATTAGCAAAGAAATGACTCAAAATAACAATGTTGGTTCGTCTCATCGGTCATATAACTGAGAACTGCGAGTTAACTGTCAGAAGATTGTTCGTACCATGTAAAAGAATTATATTAAATACCAATACACTACAATTTATGTTCAATTAATATTTTTTATTCAATTAAAGTTTGATCAATTAAAGTATGATGAAATAGTTAATTAAGCAGAGGACAAATATCTTTTTAATAATTTTATAATTTCTTGTTTAGTTGATAAGATTAAATAAACAATTAGGATTATTTTAATAATTTACAATTTACGTGATTCTTGTGTTTATAAAAGAATATATAACACAAAAATTTTACATTGTATGTCCAAACAAAACTTTAATTTCATCTTATGATTTCATATTGTGATATCATATCAAAATTTCTACATCGCATGACCAAATGGTCCTTAAAGAATAAGAAATTAAAAGAAAT